ATTCTTGGATAACGATCACATGTAAATACTGTTTTAATCTATAGAAGAGAGACAATATAAAATGATAAAGCCTTATGCACTTTATGATGAATGAAAAAATTTAATGCCCTCACAAGGTTCCAGTATCCCTTTTTGGCGAAGATACCAGCCTTTAAACCATCCTGCCAAAGGTAAATGGAAAAGTATATTGCTCTTATAAGGTGGTTTCTATCTGCTCATGAAACAAAGTAGGAAATTCTTTGCTTGATCTGGATCTCAAAATGTTATCCTGGGTATATCCAGAGGGAATAGGCTATAATAAAGGCACATGTGTAATGATGACTGTAGTACTGAATGTACTCAGGACATCTAGCTGTGATACACCTGCTGCAATGCTCTCTGTATTAGGTGTGTCCAGGTAAAATATATTTGCTGTGATGCTAAATGTATCAGATATGATTTATCTGCTGTGATACTGAGTGTACCAGATATGACCAGTTAGAATACATCTGCTGTGATGCTAAATGTATCAGGTATGATTTACCTGCTGTGATGCTGAGTATACCAGATATGACCGGGTAGAATACATCTGCTGTATTGCTATGTGCATCAGGTATGATTTACCTGCTGCAGTACTGAGTGTACCATATATGTCTGGGGTGAATAAATCTGTGCTGTTAAGTGTATCAGGTACGAGCTACCTGCTACAATGCTGAATATACTGGATATATTCAGGTAGCGGGCACCTGCAGTGATGCTGAATGTATCAGATATGTCCAGGGATGAGACACCTGATGACCTGCTGCATGTACTGGGCTTATTATAGAAAGTGAACAGACCAACAGCAGTGCAGCAGGTAGCTGAGAGGATCACCAGGAAAGGGTTAAAGGAAGAGAGGGCAGGCAAAAACCCAGTGGGACCTCCCCAAATGCCTGCTAAACCCAGAAGTGGAAAGTGAAAGTGGTAGCCCTTGTGCAAAGGAGCGGGGTGGCCTTGTGACTCCCAGGGAGGTAAAGCTCACTCTGCTGCAGGGGGCCAATGCAAGATTGCTGGAGGGTCCTCTGAGTCCCACTGGTGACCTCTGTGGGAAAGAGGCCTCCTCTTGGCTTATTCACAAAGAAGACCAGTGTGGTGAATGGGTCTACTGCTGACCCCCCACCTCGTGGGGAGTGACTAGCTGCCTGTGGAGCAGAAGGAAACTCACACCTGTCCTCATGGCAGCATAGGACCCCCGTGCCTAGGGTCGCAGGAAAGCCCAACGGAGCCAACCACACATTCTGGAATGTGACAGGAAGAGTGGATCGGACCTTCTGGGGAGACACTATGCCTACGTAGTCACATTTGCCTCAAGAAAAATATGCCCCTTGCCCCCCAGAAAGTGGCCTGCCCCTAGGTAAGGCGAGGAACACTAACACAGCCTGAGTCTGTCCTCATTTCAGTGCTACTTTTGTTATGTGCTACCAAGGACAGGTAAACCCCTGGCCACTTTGGAGACCAGCTATGCTCCATAGTCCATTTCATGCCTGGAGTCAAAATGCTCCAGGGGCTGAAATCCTAAAGTGCTCATTCTTGACACTGGGCTTGCTGGAGGGCAGGAGAAGGCCTTCAGGTCTTGGATGAGCGAGTAAGGAGAGTCCCCACTGCTTCCCCATTCTGAACTATGCTAGCAAATTGGCTCAGTTTAAAAGTCGAGATTGCTGACACCACAGACTGCCCCTCAGATATGCAAGTCCAGCTGCGGATGTTGCCACTGTGTTTGCAGTTGGTAACAGCCAGTGGCAGCCAGAATTCAGCTGGTGATTGCAACGTCAGTACATGAGACAGAACAGACTTCAGCCCACTGCCCATGGCTGTGAGGCTCTGCAGGTCTGAATGCTTGTTTGGGTCATTAAAGAAGACAGCAGCTTGGACTCAGGGGTGCAGGGAGCAGACGGGTGGAGGAAGGCAGTGCCCTTGGTACATCGTTTTTTCTCACCAGGTAATAAAAAGAGTTAAAAATAACTGCAATGACTCCCAGGTCAAACCCTCACGTGGCTTAGGGGGCAAGGTGAGCAAGTGGGGGAGGAAGGTCTGTATGGTGTTTGGAATCACATGCAACTGGAAGCATAATTAACTGGAGGGAGCAGTGGGAAAAGGCAGAAGGAGAAAGATACCCATTCAGCTCTGGGATGGGAAGGAAGCAAGTTGGCATCGTGACCACAGGCGAAACAATACCACCCTCTTGTACTATCTGAGGATTCTTGGACGCTTTATCCACATGCACACAAACACGCATGCATTTTGCTGTGACCGGATGAGGTTCTGCATTTCATTCAAAGATAATCACTTCTTTTTTTTAACACATATATCAAAAAAACAAACTCTTTCTCCTGAGGCTAGAATGGATAAACAGAACACAGAAGCTGAGCTATTCATGATAAGAAGGTGACTGGGTAAAAAGTGGGAGAGGCTGGACAAAGACACAGCATGGTAAACTTGGCGAGCCTGAGTTCTGTGTATATGTGCCCATGCACATACACATATATGCACACACTGCCAGGTACCGCGGGTTGTTACTTACAACCAGTGCAAAGTGAGCATCTGCTGTTTCAGCCAGTACATGTGGGGATTTGTGACATGGAAGCATTTCACACTCACTTTGCACTCATGCTCACGACACCTTAGCGTGAAAGCAGAGTTGTTCGGGCCTTGGGGTTTTACTTGCTGACCCACTTTACATTTCTGTACAAGTGCTTTGCAAGACACTAGAAACTAACTACACACACACACACACACACACACACACACACACACACACACACTGTCGATGAGGGTGAGGACGTGTGGCCGATAGCTTTGGAACATAGATGTGCACGCATGTGCTTCGGGAGTTGCAAGGGACTTGGCACGCATGCGGGTATGTACACTGCATGTCCCTAAACAACAAACACAGGGAAAGCCAAGCTTAACAAACTCCAATCCAGAGTCCAGTTCAAGGTCCCTGTCTTGACATTCCAAACTCCCCATGGGACCGGCTCTTCCTGCCTAACAGCTGTGATCCACGGAACAATGACATGGCTGGCCCACAGCCAGGAGATGGGAGTAGGGTCTATGGCAGGAGACAGCTCTTGGACTGTGGAACTCGCTGCCACAAGAGATAAGAGACCATGTGCTCCCTTCAGCCAGCACTCAACACAGTGCCCTGTCTTTCCCAAATCACCCTAAATCCACACTGCAGTTGTAGCAGCTGTCCCCATCTTCTTCAGCCAGTAACCACATAGTCACCTTCCACCCAGTGGGGAAGGAAATGAAATCTCATGGCGGGGGAGCACTGGAAGGAGTTGGATTTCTCATTCAAAGACAAATTCCACAATTTTGACACTTTTTTTCCCCTTTCCAAACCAAATGAAAACAAAAAACATGGCAACTTCCTGCAGAGCAATGTCCCGAGAAAGCAGCAAGTTTGGTTTCAAAATGCCAAAAGATCAAAAGGTTTCATTCAGAAAATGTGCCAATGGGCTGTATGGATGCTATGCAAATGAATCCTTTAGAAGGTGCAGGATTTGAGATAAAATGTCATCAAAATCAGTGCCTTTGGAAGCGGAAGGGGAAATATTTTGATTTCAACAAAAAATGGTGTCTTGTGGTCTAAAAGTCATTTTGACAGCATTTCTTACCAGCATCACTGCCCCAGGCTTTACTTCTGGATGGCAATATTCATGCACCATAATTATAGGGCAGCAACATTAAAACCAACCCTGAAGGAACCAACCAGCCCTTTATGGACAAGGGACCCCTTGCCAAAGTATCAACAAGGTTATACAAAAAGCTGGGCAAAACTCTTTCAGTTGATTTCTTTTTCTAGCAAAAAAAAGCTGCTGATGGGGGGAGCTAGAAACACCTCGCAGAGTTGTCTTGGGTTTGTTGAACTGTTAAGGTTGCAGGGGGGGAAACAACACTGAAAAAATGCTGAAGCATTTCACTTGAACATAAATGAAGCATCTATGGTTTTGGAACCAAAAAAGAAGTTTTGTTTCACAATCTCCCTCTTTTTTACTTTTAAAATACTGAAAAACCTCTCAAAAGAAATCCCTTTAGAATCCAAGTCAGCTGCTTCTTTCCCCACAAAACAACCTCTTTTTTGTCCCCTGCTGTTCCACTCACCCAAAATTTTAAAAATCTTTTCCTTTTGGGTTGAACTGAAACAGTATTTTTCTGAATTTTCAGAATGGCTGGTGAGGCAAACCAGCAGTGCCCTGAATGCAGCCCACACACATCAGGGAACACTGCACAGCCTCTGTGTAGCCTGGCATTATTTAAAAGAGAGGTCATCATTCTCCCTGCCCTGGTTGCTTTGCTAATGGAATAAAGGTGAAGGGCCTTCCAGCGCAGAGAGGACCAAGATCCCCCAGGTTTAGCAGCCAATGCAGCCCTGAATATAAATTGCACCAGTGACTACAGGGGGAGCCAGCTCCAAGCACAGGCATGCCTAACATGTACTAGGTGTTTGGTATAGACTCTCCCACCAGCTTAACTTTCCTTGGGGGGCTCTCAGCGGGGTCTGCCACCCCTTTTGGGGTCTGAGAAGGGTGGCTATGTCCATCTCAGTCCTTGCAGTCAATGTTTCCACTCCCATCTCTGCTGCCCTGGTACAGCTCTCAGAGCCACTGCCTTCCTGCCTCTCTAGCTCCTGCTCTGGTAAACTGATATCCCCAGAGGGGTGTGCTGGCTGCAGGAGGTGAGGGAGAAGAGGGGTTAGCAAGCTGTCAGGTTTGGGGTGGATTTGTGCTGACAGGAGCCTTGGTTTCACTCATTCGTCCTGCAGCCTTGTATGTTCATCAGCGGAGTCGGCATAAAAAAGGGGAAAGAAAAACAACTCAGCAGCTGCCAGGAAGCAATGAGGAGCTGAACCCCAAGCTGATCTTATCTGCTCCTCCTTTGCAAAGGGAAGTGCCTTGAAAGCAAAGGATTCCAGGCAGGAGGAGAAGGAGGAGGTGGGGAGAGAAGGCTCACGTAGTTCCCCTTATAAATCACTCTGCGGAGGTCTCCGAGTCAAAACATTGGAAGGACAGTGAGGCAAGACCATAAATCTTAGGCCCGGCACACAACTGTTCCAGTACAAGGAGAGCACTTCTCCAGCCCACACCCTCACCCCCACCCCCAGTGCCCAGCATAAACCCACTGCAAATGAATACGCCAGCCAGAACTCACCACCTGACTCTCAAGTCAACAGAGAGCGGCTGCTGACAGCTCAGGGCTCCAGCCTGCTTCCAGGATGGGCTCAAAATTCTCCAGCCATCAATCATTGTTTGCTCTTTCTAAATGGCTCTTTGCTGCTATGGAGAAGTTAAAACAGAGGGAAGTTTTTCCAAGAATGGACGGACGCAGTCGGGATAGTGAGGGGTACCCAGAGCTGATGCAAACTAGCAGAGGCCAGTGCAGTGTGTGCTGGTTTTCACTAGTGAAAGGATCTCACTTCTAAGAAAGGAAATGAACTCTGCAACACTGCTGTGGGTCTCATTCTGGGACCCCCAATATCCTTGCACACCTGGGGTTGGTCAGCCCCATTCTGCTTGTCTTCTGCTTACCCTGACAACCTGGCCTGAAGCAAAGGGAAGGGATCTTTTTTTTCAGGCTGATTAGGCGAGAGAGGTCCTGGCTACAGAGTGCTGATGTTTGGCACTGTGATGGGGCTAGGATAGGGGTCAGCAGGCATCAGAGCATGGCATGCAAGGCCATTTTGCTCGGCACACTACAATTGGCATGGGCTCTGGGACGCTGCCACTGGTTATGGAGCCTGGGCTGCTCACAGAAGGCAGCCGGGAGGCTGCAAATAGCAGCACCAGGCTCCAGAGCCCCAGCCAGGCTCCGTGGCAGTGGTGAGTGCACACACACCACTAGGTGGATGGCAGGAGTGGGGCCTGGGACAGTGCAACCCCAGCCCCTCCTCTGCCGTCTACCCGGAGGCACACATGCAGCCAGCCCCAGCCACAAGGATTGGGCCCCTCGCAACTCCCTGTGGTCTGCTCCTGGCACTCCAAGCTGAGGCATGGGTCAGGGTTGGGGTGCTTTTGGCACTCAAGCCAAAAATGTTACCGAGCCCTGGACTAGGATCTGCAGGAGAGTTGTTATAGGGAGAGGGACCAGGAGAGGGACCAGCATGGGGACTTTCCCAGAGTTAAGTAAGGTTGGGGTTGCAGCTGGTGGTATGAGAGGCTGCTTCATGCCAACCTCAGCTCAGAAAGTTCTGGCCCTGATGACCTTTTGACAATGACCTTCAGGAACCATTTCCTGAAATATAGATGGCTGCACCCATATGGCCCATCCTAAGTGTTCCAGAAACAGGAGGCAGAACCACCCAGTAATCATGAGATTGGCTTGAAAAGCACAAGAGTAAAAAAAAAAAGCTAAATTTAGGGCTCATGTTACATGTCTCCTGGATGCTGAAACTTTAGGGAACAGCTGAGTTACACCTTCATGCTCTTCTCTAGAGCCAGGATGGCCCAAAGTGTCTTTTCCAGGAGCTGGGGCTTAGGGAAAAACACTATACTGTACACGGGAAAGGAAGGGCTTCTTACAGGTGGATCCTCCTACTGGGACTCCCTTGCCTCCCTGGAGACTTTCTTGGGTGTCTCCTTGTTCTCATCCCTACTGCCACCAGCTGTAGATCAGCAAGCAGTTACTACCCACCTCCACACTTGTACCTCCACGCTCACCATACACACATGCATTCACATGGAGACATGCTGCCTTGTCTGGCAACAGGCTGGACCAGATAAAGACAGCCAGGGAACAAGGAGGTTTCTTTGACACGACATCCCCATTCCACCCCCGACACCCCAACCCAGGCAACAGTGGCAAATGTCACCCATCCAAGTGCTGTCTGCTGGCACCTGCTATAATACATCTCTTTGGGCAGGCTGATGTTCCCCTGCCCCCACAACGGGTAGGCGTGGTGGTAAGGAAATCCCAGTGCTTACTGGGCCTGGGACAGAAGGGAACCAGGCTCACCATACTTGTCTCCTCCTGCCACTCTGCTGTGGGGGCTAACGAAGTCAAAATGATGGGTGTTGGAGTCAACACCCCATTGAGATGAATGTAGCCATTCCCCTTCTCAGAGCTCTTAGTTCAGGCTGTCTGCAGACTCAGGAAGATGCTGCTGCATCCATCCTTCACACCTGGGTCACATTTTTGAGCTGCTTTCTGAAAACCCACGACAGCTGGACACCATTTTCTTTCCAGGAAAGCTGAGGCTCTGGTGCAATGACCTGACCTAGATCCAGGACCTAGATCATGGGCAGGAGCATCTAGGTCCTATGCTTTAAACTAGCCCTGGCAATATGCCGACATAGAAGAGAGGGGGTGGGACACTAGGAAATCCTTGCACCCATTATGGTGTGATCACATTAAAAACAGTTTGTGGGGTGGGAGACAGGGTTGAGAACACAACAGCCCTGCAGCCTTGTTGAGTAGGAACATAACCCAGTATGTAATGTATGCCAAATGCTTGGTGGCAGCCAAGACTTGGAGGCTATTTTTGTTGCTCTCCTTCTTTGAACTTTGGCATAGTGATCTCAAAATAGCCCCTGCTTCCCTCAAAATAGATGCAGCACATCCCCACACCTGTGCAGGGGACTCCACAGCTCCCTTAGCAGCCATGGGGAGCAGAGCATGCAGGGGGATAGGGGAGGCTGTGCAGACACCACAGCCACTACCATAATTTCTGTGCCCTGGCAAAGAGCCCCCAGCTGTCCCTTGACAAGAGAAACCTTTCCCCAGCTACCTGGGCTGGAGCAAAGTGGGAAAGGCTGGGGAGGGGACTATCCCCCTTAAGGCTGTTGGAAGGGGGGAAAGGATGACAGGAGGTGTCCCAAATGGGAAAGCCCTTGTGGTGTCCATTGCTAGTGGTCATTTTGGCACATGTGCCTAACCCAAGCCCGGCCTGTAGCCTGGGGCAGGCAGGAGCCCCCAGGTCCATGCCCAGAGCTGGGGGTAGGTTCAAAGTAAGGATCAAAAAGGGGCAGGTAGCAGCTGCAGAGCAGGGAAGCGATGTTTTGCAGGATGGGGGTGCCATTCTGACTGGGACGAGAGTACAGCCTGGGATCGCTTGGGCACAGGGAGTTGTTTTGTGGTAGTGTCCCTTCCTTCCCACTCCTAGACAGCACCAATGGGTTTGTTCAGCCTCAGCAGGTCGCCAAGGAAATCTCATAGTCCCCTTTTACCATGGGGTCACTCTCGCACGCCATCAGCTGGCTGGTGGCAATCCAAGTCCCCTTTCAGCTCAGGAAAGCCTGGCAGCTTGACGCCTGTTTTCCGGTCCACACACCAGCATTTCCCACGTTGCCCATCCAAAGCCGGGTGACACTAGGAGAGATATGGGCAGGGAAGAGGTCAGGTTATTGCCTGCTGGGCCTGCAGAGAGGACTTTCCACATGAGCTGTGTGCTTGGGCAGGCAAGCTCACCTGTTCTGCCAGGGCAGCTCACTGCTCTATAACTCCAGGGACTCAGCAAGAGGCCCCTTCGTCAGAACGGCAGATCTCCCAGTGATTTCAACAGGAGCCCACTGATCTGAGCATAGTCCAGCAATAGATTCTACCCTCCCTGGCACACCCCTTGCTTGGCATGCAGTGCCATGGAATATATGGTATGGCTGCGTGCCAAAGCAGGGGACAGGGCTCCCAGAAGGTCACTTCTGGTCCTCACCTTCTCTGACTTCAGTGGGAGATAGGTTTCTCACATTATGGGATTCACCCAGACAAAATCTGGCCCACAGCAGTTGCAGACCCTGTAGTGCAAGCATTACCCAAATAACAAAGAGCTTGCACAGTCTGAGTCAGGTCAGCTGCAGAAGGCTGATCACACAAGCAATCTATGTTTTGGAGACTCAGAAAAATGCCTAGCCTTAGCACCTCCCAGGCCAAGGATCCACAGCCCAGCCCAGTGAGGTACAGGGATGGGCATAACCATCCCCATCTTGCAGACCAGCAGAATGAGAGACTGAGAGGGGAAGGCTGAGTTCTTGAATGGTTCCTTCTAGCTCTGGGTGCTCAGCTTGAGATCCCTAGGACCTGATGTTCACAAGAGCTGAGATCAGGAGGAGCTTAAGGTAGCCCACCTTTTGAAAAGGTAGGCCTGGGATCCAGGTTCAAGATCACCTAGGTGTTGACTCAGGAGTCCTGGCTGAGACTCTTGTGTGTCAGCCACAAAACCACCTATCACTTCCTTCACTGAGCCTTACTATCCACTGGGTCTGTAAAGCTATGCCCAGAAGAACAGCCTGTCTCGTGGTCTCCAACACACATGCCCTTTGAGAGTACCATGGGGTATGGTGCTCAAGGTGAGACATGTGCTCTGTCCATACCTGCTTCGGATGGAAGTTCCCATTGCGGTCACAGTTTGGGATGGGGATGATGTACAAGTCCTCATGAGTTCGGCCCTGGGAGGCAGCTAGTCTCTCCAGAGCTCTGTGCAGCTCGCTCTGGCAGGAACCCTGCGCCTAAAAATGCAGCAGCCATCAGGACCCCCATCAAAGAAGGATGGGATATACCCATCTCCCTCCACATTCAGCACCCACAGAAACAGGCTGAAACCACCCTCTATTGCAAACTGTCACGTACTCCTGGAGGGAGAGCCCAGAAGGTGAACAGCTGGCAGGGCAGTTCTATTGTTCTCTCTAGCCAGGGGTCCCCTGGGTGGAAGAGGTGTCTGTAAAACCCCCAGGAAAGAAGTGGCATGAGATAAAATGGTACAGGACAAACCTTTTGGCAGGCATGCCAGAAATTAACCCCACACCCTTCCTGAGTGCCACTCCAATGCCCTTCTCCTGCCCAATCTGCTGCTCTGCTTTCTGCTCCCTGCTCTGTGCTCCCTGCCTGATCTGCTGCTCTGCTGTCTACTTCCTGCCTTATCTGCACCATGCTACCTGTCCCTCCCTTGTTCACTACATGCCACACAGAGGCTGTCTGTGCCACTTGCGGCATGTGTACTGCAGGTTGGCTACCCCTGGAATAAAACATCCCTCCTGTCTCTGGGAATTCACCATGTCCTAGTTTAGCCCTATCGATTCCCGAATACCAAGGAGACACCGTTCTCATCGCTGTTCCCAGATCATCACTGACAACCCTAGGAGCTTTCTCACATCCCACCCTCAGTAAGGAATCTGTTTTTCTAACCCCCTACTAGCGGTGACTTGCTAGTGCACCGGAGGGTGTATGCACTGCCCCATGCTAGCCATTGTTGCAAGAGCACCCCCTGCTGATGTGGACAGTACAAACTCCAGCTGCCAAGCAGATCCTTGCACAGAAGCACCCCCTATGACAGTGATTCTCAACCAGGGAGCCGCAGCACCCTGGGATGCCTTCAGACCCTTTCAAGGGTACTGCACAATGTTAACACCACTAGGCATGCAAACATGATTCACAAGATAAACCCAGAGATTTCAAATAGGAATCTATATTGTGTTAAAGACATGATAACCTGCTTTGGACTTTCTGAGTTCTTTGCAACAGAAGAATTGCTCTAGATTTCATCCATAGTCAAAAACTGAGTGAAAGCTAAGAGTTGGCATGTTCCAAGGGGTGCCTTAAGTCTAAAAAGGTTGAGAACCACCGCCCTACTGGCTTCTAAGGGAATAGCTAGCTACACAGCACCATGCTAGGACACCCCATGCCTGCTCCAGGGATGCCAGCTCCTGGACAGGAAGTAATATATCTGTTTTGGTTACATTAAGCATCAGGTAGTTAAGCACTGAAACAGGCTACCCAGAAAGGTTGTGGAATCTCCATCTGTGGAAGTTTTCAAGATCAAGTTGGACAGACACTTGGCTGGGATGGTTTAGTCAGGAACAATCCTGCCTTGAGCAGGAGCTGGACTAGATGACCGCCTGAGGTCCCTTCCAGCCCTACTTGCCTATGATCCTATGCTCCTATGTGCTACAGAGACATGCCCTAACAGGCACCCAACCAAAGTATTAGGACCACAAGGCACTGATTTTACCCCTGTGCAGCTGCAGTGGCAGTTCCCTCCCAGAATGGTCCAGCCCCAAGGGAAAGGGCTACTGGGAGGGGAAGAGGAGAAATGGGGCATCTCACTATTGGCCTTGTCTCATCCCGGATGTGTGTATTCCTCATCTTGACACCGTTGTTGGCCCGCTCACGGGATTTTGCCTGCTGCTTCAGATGGCATTTCCGGTCTTGGATGCTGCAGGGGCTGAAGCTGTTGTTGGGGTGATCAATCTCCTCCTTTTCTGCAAAAATAACCAGAGGGTCTTGCAGTGATTTGGGCTGTGGGCATTGCTCGTAGCAGGGGTAGTTGCTGCCACAGTCCCCTCAGCCTCCATCCATGCCCATTGGTGCCTCTTTCCTTCTGCCTCATCCCCTCTCCCCACACTGGTGCATGTCTCCTGAGCCACAAGCCAGCCATGTTGTAGACCTGAGTAGGGTTTGTAACCTGACTGACTCAGCTTGTGGCTCCATCATCCCCAACACCCTTAACATGTGGTTCCCAGGCATGTGACTACAAAAATGCTGATGCATTTGCTGCATCTATCTGCATTGACCATATCGCCACATTCTCCCCAACCTTGGGCTCCGAGCACAGGGTGTCCCAGCGTCCACTGCACTACTGGAAAGTATGCATTCCCTTACCCTGGCTCCAGCAGCTCCAGACAGCCTCTCGTAACTGCCTAGAATGGGCCAATACAAACAGACGTGCAGAACAAGCCCATGTGGCTCAGCTATGGTTGTGCCCTGTGCCATGTGACCATGCTGACTAAGGAACCATGTCAGGAAAGCCCAGCCAAGCCTGGATAGATTAACTTGGCACTAGTTATAGTGCCAAGGGGCTCAAGACATTCATGGTCATGAGTTGGAACGTGCTTGGTGCTGTACAGGCAATGTCCTTCCTTGTACAGTTTACAGGGTAAGGAGAAAGGAAGCAGGGGAAAGGTGGTTATTAGTACCCATCAAACAAATGAGGGAAAG